AGACCTCATGAAGCGAAAAATTGATTTTCCTGGGTGGCAAAATTCTGTTGGGGCTATCAGAGCTCCTGTATGATCTTATTTTTCAAAATATTAAGAGAATCCAAATCTTCTGAAATGGCCTGTCCTTACCTTGCTCTTGAATTTCTTCCTCAGATCTATTCTTGATCCCCCAATAAAACTTTACTCTCCCTCCTGTAAAGCTTCTAGCTAATAATTCAGCATTTAGACATTCATATCTGAATGTTATGACTGAAAATACAGCTTTGGAGACAGATTTGGATCGGAACTTCCATGCCACCCTTATCATATTTGATCTGTTTAAATCTGTAATCCTCAGTGCTTTTTATTTGTAAAATGGGAGTTTAAACCAGGGTATAAAACAATGGTATAATTCATTAAAAATATTATATAAGGAAATAAATACAAAAAAGTGGCTATCAAGCCATGAAAAAATATTTATGAAATGTAAATGCATATTAGAAATGAGAGAAGCCAACCTAAAAGTCTACATACAGTATGATTCCAACTACATGGCAATTGGTGAAAAGGCAGAACTATAGAAACAATAAAAGATCAGTGGTTGCCAAGCCTTGTGGGGAGATACAAAGAGACAGAACACAGGATTCTTGGACAGAGAAATACTCTGCAGGATACTGCAGTAGTGAACACATTATGAATTTATACATGGTAATGTCTAATTATATATTATATACATAGACATACATACACACATTAAATGTGTTCACACCCAAAAAGTGCACAACACTAGGAGTGAATCCTAAGGTTAACTTTTAACTTTGGGTGACAGTTACATGTATCAATGTGATTTCCTTGACTGTAGCAAATACAGCCCTCTGGTGGGGGTGTTGCTGGTAGGACTGATTAAGCATGAGTGGGAGCAGGAGTGATGTGGAAACTCTCCATATCTTCCACTCAGTTTTGCTGTGAATCAAAAACTTCCCTGAAAAATTAAGTCTATGAAAAAAACTAATTAAATATTTAGATCATAAGTGTTCTTGTAAGAATCAACTAAGATGCTTGCTTTTTTATTTTTTAGTATTTTTAAGCTTTTTAAAAATGAAGGTAAAGTCAGTTTATAACTGAATTTCTTTTAGGGGTTATAGGCTCAAACCTGTTTGAAAAGTACTTTGCACAGGACTGAACACAAAGTGGCCACTATTGCTGTGAAAACATAAAATACCCCTCAATAAACATAAAAAGCCCTGTATTCTGTGGATAAGAGAAATTGAAACAATTGAACTTGGACTCTATCAACTGACCTCCTCCTTAATGCCTTTATTGACACTCTAGAATTGCGGCTTCATTGTAGTCTATCCTATTTTTGAAAATTCAGGGCCTCCCTGGTGGCACAGGGGTTAAGAGGCAACCTATGAAGCTATCCACAGCCACCACAGCATGACTTCAATCCCCAGCCAGGGAACTGCCCATGTGGCACAGAAGACCTCTCCTGACTTGCCTGCTGCTCCCCTCAGCAGTGAATTTCGGTCAGTCTGCCTGTTCTGTTCCCCACTTTGTCTCTGGTGAATCCTCTCACCCCCCACACACACACACACACCTCTGGCCTGTACCCCAGCTCTTGTATGCATAAATAAATCTTTATTTTTGAAAAATCAGGGAAGCTTTTCAAAAAATATTTCAATTGGAACTCAAGGTGAGATAGTACTCTTTAAGAACTAAAGGCAAAGCTGAACTCAATTTCTAATTATTAGTTGCTATTCTATGACAGTGATAACACACAGTGAGGGCAACAGAGAAGGACTGAGTCAATTTTTGCTCATTTCCCTCCTTTACCAAATTTTCCATTGGGGGACTCCATAGGGCAGGCACTATATCCCCTTTGGCAGGCTCTCCCTAAATGAACTCTGTGTGAAGTAACCATATTCTAACCAGAGAGGAAAGCATTAAGAGAGGGTTTGATGGGATGTTTCGGGATTACTTTGAGCCCGTACACTTAGCCCAGAAAAAGCATCTCAAACTTAACCTAAGAAGAGGAACCCAGGGATCTGAATTTTGAATCCCAGGGGCTTGACCTGCTCTGATATGCTCTGCTCTCTGTCCTCAGCTGTCTCTAGCTCTAGTTCTCACTCCAGCCTTGGTTTCTCTCTTTCCTGCTCCTCCTAACTCTGATCATCAGCTAGCTGCTCCAACCTCCCTCTCTCTCTCTCTCTCTCTTTCTCTGTGTGGTGTCCCCACTCAGCATGGCAGCCTCAGACCCACTGCTTCATGGGATCCCTCTGGTTGACTCTCTGCAATGTAGAGCACCAGTAAGAGTCAGAGAAGACTGAGCTCCTCATTTCCAGGCACACTGGAAGATCTGGTTTTAAAAGGGTTATGGGTGGTGGGGGAGAATTCTGATACATTGTTTGAGTAAAGTTGGGTCTGCGCAAAATGGTAAAATATGCAATCTATTAGGACTCCCAAAGAGCAGCAAGAGCCATATGGGGCTTAAGGTTCACAAGAAACACTGACACTGGACTGATGTTGCCTTGGCTTATTCATAAGTGGCTTCTAGATAACAACTAAAAATTCAGTTCAGATAGTTTGTATTAAGTAGCCACCTGTGCACCAGGCCTTGATGAGGACTAAGTACACAGATCATATGTTGGTCCCTTGACCTTGAGGAGTCACAGGCTGGCGAAGCACAAGACTCAGAAATAGTGTCAGCATCATGCTGGGGTCCCAACTGATTGATCAGAAAATCCTATCGATCCCATTTTCAATATATATCCAGCTCTTCTCTCTTCTGTTACCCCACTAGGTGCAGAGCTCCAGCTCTCTCACCTGCATAGTCACCTGCATGGTTACCTGCATGGTCACCTGTGAGGCCATAGTCTCTGAATAGACCTTCCTTACTTCTTCTTTTTCAGCTCTTTCTAACACAACAGCCAGATCAACATCCTTTGCTTCAAACACACTGATGGCTCCAACTCACTTAGACTAAAGCCCCAACTTCTCATCATGACCTAAAAAACCCCTGGTCCTGCCCCAGGGGTTCTGCTTGCATTACTCTTGGTCTTTCTCAATATCATCTTCTTAAAATCCTACCTGGCCAGCCTCTCGCACCCTGTGTGTGGCCATCCTAACCACCCTGATGGCACTGCCATCTCCTGCTCGCTCTACATTTTAATTTTTCTCCACCACACTTGCTACCCTCTATTGTGTTATATAATTTATTATGTTTATCATTGCGTGTCAGTCTCTCCTTTGTCTGTTTCACTCAAGCTGAATTCCCAGTGACTAGAATCATGCCTGGGGCGTAGCAGGTGTGCAATGAGTAGTGGCCAATGAGTTGAATGGAAGACTGATAAGCCAATTATATGCCCATCAAACTACAGGGTCACAGACAGAGCACTTGGACCCACTATCAAAAAGGTTATGGAAGAATTTCTAGGGCAAGATAATGTCTAACTGAATTTTGAAGGACAAGCAGGAACCGGGGGGAAAGAGCTGAGCTAAGTAAGATGTCAGTAAGGAATGGTTTAGTGTTATAGTTGGAGGTGGGAGGAAGTGAGGAAGCCTCAGAGTCAAAGGTATTAAAAGTAATACAAGAAACGTGCTGGGGATTCTAGATGCAAGCATTTGTATTGGTGTAGTGCATGTTTTATGATTGAAAAAAATTAGAGATAACAGCACCCTTTGCTAGCATTATGTTAAATCAATGCCAGGGAGGGAAACAATCTTCTTGATAGTCTGTTCCCAGGAGTCCCAGTCTAATTTCCTTTTTCATATTATTTATTCTGTTAGAGGGTTTCAGTAGAACTAGGTCCAAAGGAACCTAGAGATTTCCCTGTAGCTGGGAACTGGCTTCTTGCTTCTAGGGGATTCCCCACTTCACTCTTTACTGCTGAGCACATACTTATTCTGGATTTCAAACACCATTTTGTGAACTATTAAAACATAGTGAATTATTTCCTTGATTGAGATCCTGTCTTAGGGTTTGACACTGGCTTGGCACCAGTTTTTCTGCTGTCCAGGTCACTTATAAGTTATCACGGTCAAGTGCACTTTCTTCCTATGGAGGACAGTCTGGACTGTGCCCTTCAGTGAGGGTAACATTCACAGGAGTCAGAGTCCAGAGAAAGAGCCAGAAGCATCCAAGGTTGAAACCAGGAGAGCTCAGCTTTTTTTTTTTTTTTTTATAGAGGCATGTTTTATTTATTTATTTATTTGTTTGTTTGTTTGTTTTGTTTATACATGCACTGGGTACAGTCAGAAGCGCGGGAGGGTGAGAGAATTCACCAGAGCCAGAGCGGGGAGCAGAACAGGCAGAAGGACCGAAGTACACTGCTGAGGGGAGCAGCGGGCGGCAGGAGAGGTCTGCGCGCCATGTGGGACCCTCCGCTGGTGGCCGGGGAGCAGCCGGGGATCGAACCGGCGCCACAGAGGCCGTGGGCGGCTTCGCAACCCAGCACTCAACCGCTGCACCACCGGGGAGGCCCGAGCTCAGCTTTTTCATCCCCATTTTACAGATGAAAAAAATAAAGTTAAGAGGCTCGACAATTCTCCAAGTTCATGTACCTAATCAGTGGCAGAGTGGGACACACATCTCCTGAATCTTTGATGCTCAACTGCTCCAAATCAACAGACAACATCAGTAAAATCATTCACTATAGCAAGAGGTAGGATCCCATATGTTTGCCTCTGGCTGTCTGGGTCCATGTTTACTTACTTCTGTGATTCTTTGATTAGCATGGAGGTCATTAGCCTGGTGCTTAGAAAACTAATGTGGATCAAACTTTCTGGTCTCCCCATGGACAGGTGAATAGTTTTCTGTCTCATATATATGCAACTCAAACTCAAATTTTGACAATGCAGCTCAAATTTAGACAATGTTTTCCAGAACTGAATTTTCTTTTGTGTGTGTTTATTCAGTCTCCAAGCTCCTATTGAGCACCTACACTGTACCAGACACTGTTTCTGGGCCCTGAGGAGTCCAAGGGGAGCTGCCCGCATGGAGATCACACTACTCGATTACTTACCATAGTACCGGTATATTCTTCCAGCTTGACCTCAGAAATGGCCTTTTCCTGGTGAAGGAACAGATCTCGGAGGAAGTTCTGTGACCAGACGAGAAGATTCACATTTTATGTAGAGAGCAAATAACTCACAAAGATCTTGAGGCTCATTTTCAGAAGGGTGGTTCATTTTTTAAAAGAGGAAATAAAATTCTTATAGCAAGCAGTAAGTCCAAGAATGGAGGGCTGTCACTGTTTGAAGAGACCACTTGAAACCAAGAGAATGGCCAGGCATGAACAAGCTATCATAAATCCCCAATTATTTCTCTTTCCCAGAGAGAACAAGATCACCTGTACTTTCTAAATCTTCTAAACATCAATATATATTTTTTAAGTAACAAATTCAAGTCCATGTTTCTTGGGCCCACTGAAATTAAACTTGTGATACACATAAATCAATTTCCCAGTGATGGACAAGCTCACCCTTACCCAGCAGCAGTTCCCAGCAACACTTACACGAAGCTCGGCAGCTGATATAAAGCCACTGCTGTCAGCATCATATTTACGCCAAATCTGAAATACACAAAAGCCAATAAGTCATTTGATCTCAGAAACTGGGGATTGACTCAGGTTGCTCTCTACTGTGGTTCCACATCACATCTGAAACCCATACCTAACGAGGTGTAAATAAGACTTGCATGGGGAGTTTTAGGCTTTCTCTGGTGACAGCAACTTTTGGGGCCAAACTCACTAGAAATGAATCATTGTATACACTGGGAGTTAGTTGGGAAGATGTACAATGCAGGCACTTAGAAGGATTTGGGGGAAGCTCAAAATGAGCTGGACTTCAACTTGGGGCAATATGGTAAACTAAGAAATCTTCTCTGTATCAAATACCTAAAAATGCAGGATCCTCCAAACATAACTCTGTGAATACACAGTAAATTCTCACTTAATGTCATGGATAGACTCTTTGGAACTGTGACTTTAGGCAAAACAACCTATATGGAAAGCAGGTCCTCAGAAAATGTCATTTCACTCAACATCAGTGGGGAATAGTTTTTCTTGTCTACTTTATAACAAAATGAATCGACATTGAACAGAACAATGTTAATGGACAATCTGCTGTGTATCTCAGCTGGAAAGAAAGTGAGGACTGCTAAGTGAGGCCCACAAGGTAGAAAAGCACAAACGCAGTGGTGACATAGGATCGAGATTCAGGATAAACCTCATCCCAGGTACATGTGCTGATCTCTGCAACTCTGCCTGCTGCTTTATTGGGAAACTGTGTGTGGTAAACAGGAGACAAATCCCAGCACCTAGGCAAGTAGGGAAGTCAAACCGAGGCACCTGCATAAAACTAAAATCCCAAATGGGCATAACTCATTAATGGGGTGAATCCCTCAAATATAAAATGTGTTGGAGAAGAGACCCCTAAGGAATCTTGCCTGTGTGACTTCAATTCTGGGTAAAGAGACTAAAAGTGACAAGCCAACACTTTCACTGTGGGAGAACAACTTATCTACAGAAGATACAATTACCAACTTGGAAGACAGAACAGCTAAATAGTTTTAAGGACACCCTGGACTTCTTTCCTTAATAAGTGGTGTCATTTCCTCCACCTCGCATGGTTCCCCATACAAGCCTCACCAGCTGGCAAGTTCCCTAATTCCTATGTATCAGGGTACAATCGAATAAGGTTAAAAACTATCTCCTACTCCTGACCCAGCAGGCAGGATTGGGAGGCTGGACTAGATAAGGGAATGCCTTGGGGGCATGGTCATAAAACCCACCACCACAACTAGAAGAACCAGCTCAGCTCCAGGAATGCAGAAGCAGAGGCCAGAATATGCTACTGTGTCAAAGGCCAGCACCTGAGACCAGACACCCAGCAGATACTGGTGCAAAGTGGCGCCCCAAGTTAGAAAGCCCGTGAAAACCGTATGAAAGAGAGCCTCAAATCTTCCTTAGTGGGAAGACTTATTCCAGCTTGCCCACTGCTCCCCTCAGCAGGGTATTTCAATAAATCTACCTGTTCTGCTCTCTATACTGCCTCTGGTGAATTCTTTCACCCCCAAGCTTCCAGCCTCATCCTGATTTTCTTCCCACAACACCATCCAAAGTGAAAAAGTATCACAAAGTATTGTTTTTCCATTGACCAAATTTTCATAGAGGAAGGATGGGTTAGCTGAGTCATCAACTGCAGGGCCCTTCATTACAGATCACAGTCAGGGTCCTGGCTGCTGACCCTGCAGAAGGAGTCAGAGGCATTGATGCTGATGCTGGTATTGGTGAGAAGCATCAGAAACCTGGTCCCTTTCAGTCTGTCACCTACATTTCTGCCTGAATTTATCCATATAGACAAAATCAACTTGTTTAATGTGATTTTTATTCTAACTTCTATGATGTGGATATACCAAATCCAAGAATGAGAATTTCATGTCTATAGCACTTCTGCATGCTTTTTTCATGCAATTCTTCAAACAATTTCTGATGGAGGCTAATAGTAGAAAATTTGGGAAGGAGGCATTCACAAGACCAGAAACTGCTGCCACAGACCAGAAAATGGAGGTGGGGGTAGAAATGATTAACAGTGATTAAATAAGCTGTAGAAAAACTCTGGAGCACAGATTGGGGGAAGGGATATGACGACTGAGGACCATTATGAAGAATCACAGGTCCTTTCAAATCTACCTAGTCAAACCAAATAAAGACATTCTTTAAGCACCAACTGATAGCAAACTTCAGACCTCTATAGATCCCAAGAGCTAGACCAAAGGTGAGGATATGGAGATTGAGGGCCATTACAGAGACTCTCCAGTCCTTTCAATTCTACCTACTTACACCCTAGAAATAATTAACAACAATTAGCAATTCCACAAGGAGTAGTCCCATCCCCACAGAAAGAAGATGATAAAAAAACCCCAAGGCTGTCCCCTTCAAACACAGCACTTATTACTCACTTGTGTGACTATGCAAGTGTCTGTTGCTTTGCTTTTCCATTTTATAGTTAACCTACCCTTTCAGAATTACTAAATGTCTCTACCTCATGGGGATACTCAGCATGTGCTGCTGAAAGGGGAGGTCTGGTGAGGGTTTTCCCAGAAATAACCCAAGGACCCTGCTCTCTGGACCCAGTATCTCTCCAAACTGACATCATTTTCCATCTAAATTATGTTGTAATTTTACTACAAATAAGCCATTGGGTGGTCAAGATTTTTATGTGAATATTCAGCTGGCCTTTAAAGGACTGAAGCGAAGAGATTTCCAGGCAAACAAAACCAGGGTTTATTTCTAACATATTCTTGGTGAATGATATATACTAGAAAAGAAGAATATAAAAAAGGAAAATCTGAGCTAAAGAAGGAAGGATGACACTGGGAAACGTGCATGAAATGAAACAAATTTAACTGTATAAGATTTTTGCAGGTAAGAAGACAGGGTAAAACTGATAACCTGAACAATTATGGCATATAAGCTGGTGTGTTAGAAGTAAAATGTCTTAAGTTCCTGCAATTGAAAAGTAAAGACATTAACACAGAATTTCTGAAAATACATAATAGGTATAACATTTAATTTTAAAAAGGAATTCAAGAATCTATGGTATTTCTTTGAATACAGACAAAATTGACAAGCTAACAAGGAAGAAAAAGAACGGAGTAAGTTTTAAAAAAACTCCATAATGCCATTTTCTTTTCCTTTTTTCAAGATTATTTAAGACTACACGTATCCTAACATTTTAAAGGGGGAAAGATTTATGCGATATGAAACCAGATTATCTAACTTTTTAATTATTTTTTCTGACTCTAAAAGCTCATATTCTTTGACAAAATTAATGAAAAACAAAAAGAAGAAAACTATAATTTCCAGAAATTTCTACCCCAGAGGTAATCTGGGGTATCATTTCTATGTTTTCTTTCTATCATATTTCTATTATATAAATGAGAAACTAAATTGGAAGCTGTATTATCTAGACATTTGGGTGGTCTATTATTTTCATTTAAAATTGTCTAAAGGAATGAAATCTTGCCAATTGCAGCAAAGTAGATGGGCCTTGAGGGCATTTATGCTGTGAAATGAGTCACACTGAGAATGACAAATACCATATGATTTCACTTGTTTGTGGAATCTGAAATAAATGAAAAAAACTAAACTCAGATACAGACAACAAATTGGTGGTTGCAGGTGGTGATGGGTGACTGAAAAGGTACAAACTTCCAGTTATAAAATAAATACATCATGGGGATGTTATATGCAGCATGGTGACTATAGTTAATAATATTGCATTGCATATTTGATGAGAACTCTTAGAGTTCACAAGAATCACAAGAAAAATATTTTTTTTTTTTAAAAGATTTGTTTATTTATTTATTTATATAAGCACTGGGTACAGTCAGAAGCGCGGGAGGGTGAGAGAATTCACCAGAGCAGGCAGAAGGACTGAAGTACACTGCTGAGGGGAGCAGCGGGCAGCAAGAGAGGTCTCCGCACCATGTGGGACCCTCCTCCGGTGGCCGGGGAGCAGCCAGGGATCGAACCGGCGCTGCAGAGGCTGCGGGAAGCTTTGCAACCCAGCACCCAACCACTGCGCCACCAAGGAGGCCCAAGAAAAAAAATTTTAAGTATGGGGCATGTGCAGTTGTATGGGGGAATATAAAAATAAAATTTATTATTTAAAAAAAAATTTAAGTAGCTATAGAGACAGACATTAACTTAGACTTTGGTAATCTTTCTGCATTGTGTACAAATATCAAATCATTATTTAATACACCAAAACCAATCATCATGTGTCAATTATGTCATGGTATTATCACTAAATTTACAACTATGCCCCATTGCTTGCCCAGCAGGCAGTTTGGGAAGCTGGAATGGATTAAGGGAGTGGGTGGGACTGATGATCTAAGAGCTAAGGATCCATTATGGTAATTCATGTCATCAGTCAGGACAAACCCAAGACTAATCACCCTAACCAATCAATGATGCCAGGAGTAGAAAAAGATCCTAAGGATCCTCACTCTGGGTACAGCAGGCCTCTCATGTCTTACCTGTTGCTTCCCTTAGCAGGGTAAATCAATAAATCCACAAGTTCTGTTCTCTACCATCCTATGACATATGACATGTTATACCTCAATTAAAGAAAGAAAAACAAATGAAGAAGCCCCTTTGCTTTCTTAACAGATTTGAACCCCTGCTAAAACAAAAGTGAAGGCAGATGGGTTCCATGGCCACAAATATTCATGAGCAGTCTTTGTTAATAGGCAAACAAGGGCCTCCCCGGTGGCGCAGCGGTTGAGCGCTGGGTTGCGAAGCTGTCCACAGCCTTTACAGCGCTGGTTCGATCCCTAGCCCGTAGACCTCTCCTGCTCTGGTGAATTCTCTCACTCTCCCGTGCTTCTGACAGTACCCAGTGCTTACATAAATAAATAAATCATTAAAAAAAAATAGGTTAACAGAAAGTATTTCTGTAGTTATTTTAGATGCAGTTAAAATTACTTTGAAAATGTCATTTAAAATTGCTTGTTTTTGTGATTCTATGAACAATTGGAAAATATGAACATAAAAACAATATGAAAATCACCTAAAATTCTAGCATTCAAAACAACCAGTTTTTAACTTCTTTGCATTTTTCCTACTGTCTTATTTGTGCAGGTGTTAGGGTGAAACATTTTTTAAACAAAGCTAAGATCATATTGCATTTTGTGAGTTCAGTTTCCCAAAAAGGATCTAGTAGGCTTTTCTCAATAAGCCCAGATAGGCCTCCATCATCTTGGTGTGGAAAGTTGGGGTCAATGAAGGCACTGTGAGCCCCCAAGGTCTATGATCCTTACTTAAGGCAGATTGTTTTGAGTTGAGAGCCCTGAAGTGAGGGCCCTGAAGGCTAGGAGCAGCTTCTGTTTTTGCCCCAACTCTTTGACCCTCCCTAATCCTAATCAAAAAAAGAAATCTCTATGTCCTAAACTTCTCCCTTTTCCTAATCCAAAAAACAACTGCTCCCCTTTTTATGACCTAGAAAAATGTAGTTTGGGGGCATAGTCTCACCCAGTTCTAGGTTAATCAGTCAAATTGTTCCATCTCTAAGAATCTCCTCTTTACTCTCAGTAAATGACTTGTCTGTCATCTGAAGTCTCCCCCTCTCTGTCCTCGATGCCCAGCTCCCCAAAAGCAGGATAAATATTCCTGGTCTGCTCCAGCATTTAGAATTTGGCCCTATACATTCTCCATACATATGTCATTAAGTTGATTGCTTCTCCTTTGTTCATCCCTCTGATGCTGTTTTGATGACTCATCTAGCCCAAGAAGAAACCAGAGGGTGGACAGGATGGTTTCTTTTGTGCCCTGACAATATACAGTTTCATTTCTTAACATTTTATTTCTCTCCATGTCATTAAGGATTCGTAGGTAATTTGATCTTTAGTGATGAATAATGATCCACAAGGGGGCTTTTATGTCCTGAATCACCAGTACCTAGTGATGTCACTTTAAAGAGGTGTAGGGTCAGGGAGTAGGGTCCTTTGGTTACCCCGAGAGAAGTTTTGGCAGAGTTCCCTTTTCAGTGGCACATAGGAAGTTTACCCAAGCGAGGAAGACATTCACAAAGACACAGGCAGGCAAAGGTTACATTCACACAGACACAGCAGGCAAAGGTTACATTTTAAAGGACAGGTTTATTAGGAAGAGGGGAAAAGGGCCCATGCATAGTCATAGGTGGGCAGAGCTGCACCTATTCCTTTGTGGAATATCTATTGTTAAATTAATTACTTATAAGGTATAATTAAGGCCATTATAGAGAACAACCTTGATTTGTAAGGACTGGTGGTTTTCTATAATGGATCTCAATCTCCATATCCTCACCTCTGGTCTGAGCCTTGGGATACTTTCTATAGCAGTCTGATACTTGCTACAGCACTTGGGGCCTAAGAAGTTTTCATTTCTATGGCTTATTTAACAACTATGTTAATCAGGGCCTCCCTGGTGGCACAAAGGGTTAAGCACAGCACTATGAAGCTATCTGCAGCCTCTGCAGTATGAGTTCGATCCCCGGCTGGCCAGGGAGCTATCCGCAAGGCACAGCAGACCTCTCCTGTCTTGCCGGCTGCTCCCCTCAGCAGTGTATTTCAGTCAGTCTGCCTGTTCTTCTCCCCACTCTGTCTCTGGTGAATCCTCTCACCACTACCACCACCCCTCCTCCACACCTCTGGCCTATACCCCAGTTCTTGTATGCATGAATAAATAATTTAAAAAAAAAAATACTAATTATTTCTAACCTCACCTTCAGTTGTGGTCCCGTGATGCCTCCATCCTAAATTTTCTACTCTTACCCTCCATCACCTAAAACAACCCCTAACACACTACACTGTAGGTTTTGGAAATATTTGTGGAGTGAATGAAAGAATCACAAATTTATCATGATTTGACTAATGTTTCCTTCATTATTAAACATTTATGTTGTTTTTGGGTTTAATTACAAGTAACATTGCAATGTTTAATGAACCTTGTACAAAAGTTTGCCTACCTCTCTGAGTATATCCTTAAGATAGATGCCTGGAGAAGTAGTATTAAGCAAAAGGGTAAAGATATTTTTAATTAACTCTGGACAATGTAATTTTAAAAGATCCTGATTACATTTTTGCAAAATTGCTTTCCATAAAATTATTCCAATATGCATGCCTACTGACAAGAATGAGCCACATTCTTAGAGCTTCCCTGCCAGCCCTGCATTTTTTTTGTTGATCCTTTTAAAATCTTACTAATGTGGGGTCAGATAGGCTTTTCTCAATAGGCCCAGAGCAGGCCTCTTGTCAAGCTGGCATGGAAGTAGAGGCCAAACAAAGCCCAGTGAGCATATGAGGCCTATGACCATTACCTTAAAAATGTAGATTGTTTTCAGTTGATAGTGAGGGCCCCCAAGGCTAGAATTTTCTGTTCTTGCTTAAGTCCTTCAACTTTCCTTAATCAAAAGAGATTGTCATATCCTAAGCATCTGCCTTTGCTTCACTGAAATGCAACAAAGGGTTCCCCAGGATTATCAGTGAACACACTTTCACCATCTAAGAACCTCATCTTTACTCTCAGGCTAAGAGTCAGCGCACCCCCTTCTTGTCTGTCAGGTGAAGTCTCCCCTTCTCTGTCCTTGATGCCCTAGGTCCCCAAACTCAGGAAAAACATTACTCATCTGCTCCATATTCTTTATAATTTACAACGCTGGAAATTCTCCATACACCGAAATGAAGCATTTGTCTCTCTCTGTCCCACCAGATGACAGTGAAAGCAAGCTGGCGCCAAATTAAATCTCCCCAGAAACTCTCCAGAGGCTTCTGTCACAAGGATGAGAGGCTGACTCTTGCCCATGCCCCTTCCCCTTTCTTACTCCCTTGCAACTCTGGATGAATATCCCTGTCCTCTGCCAAAGAGCAGGACTACGGTGGTCTTTCAGAAAGGATTCTGCTGCTTTGTCCTCAAACTCTTTCCTTTCACTGGCCAAGGCATTCGGTATTACATATGTGTATTTTTTTTTTTTAAGATTTATTTATTTATTTATATAAGCACTGGGTACAGTCAGAAGCACAGGAGGGTGAGAGAATTCACCAGAGCCAGAGCAGGGAGCAGAGCAGGCAGAAGGACTGAAGGACACTGCTGAGGGGAGCAGCGGGGGGCAGGAGAGGTCTGTCGCACCATGTGGGACCCTCACCGGTGGCCGGGGATTGAACCAGCACTGCAGAGGCTGCGGGCAGCTTCAAAGCCCGGTGCTCAACCGCTGCGCGACCAGGGGACGCCCACATATGTGAATTAATAAATTGATTGCTTTTACTTTGCTAACTAGTCTGATGCTATTTCAATTACTTGTCCAGCCTGAGAAAACCCCAGAGGAGTATGAGATGATTTTTTTTTTTGCACCCTGACACAATTTTGGTAAAAATTACTTGTTTTTAATTTGCATCTCTTTGGTTATCAGCATATATGTATTATTCATTCAAATTTCTTCAGTGTTCACTCCATAGTAGATGACTTTCATTTGGCCAGAGGGAAATAAATATTTAGTACAGAAGGTTGCTAAATGACTATCTCCTAAATCAGGATTTGTAACAGTTTCCAGAATGGGAATCTGGATGCAGCATCTATCTTGATTTGGCCTCTGTGGCCCTGGAGAAACCTTTCTATGTCTTCCCTGGGGTTTTTCCACTTACAGATAGTAAAAGCTAGAGGCTATGAGATTGATTCTATCTTTAGAATATTGATTCTATCTTTAGGCTATAGTCATTGATTCTATCTTTAGCCTTTACTCAAACACAATGATTGCAAACAGATCTGCTGCCTGGATCTGAAAACTGATAAGTCATGTTTGACTGTACTGTGCCTTCAAAATTAGAATGAGTTGACAACATTTAAAAAGAAGTTTTGCATGGCGTCTAGATGTCTAGACAGCATTCTCAAAAGGCAGTTGTTCACCAGAGCGCCACAGGGCTTCCCAGGGCATGTGCTCTGAGTTTTCCCTGGCCTTCCATCCCACTATTCCTTGGACAGTGTACCTGCCTGGGCCAGTCTAAACTTTCCTCTCATCCAGGATATAGGCGATTGTTAGCTCAGGAGCATGTGGTAGCTTGGGGACCAGGCAGGGACGGTGGCTGCTGTAACTGGTGACCAGCATCCTAGTCTCTTCTCAACCCTTATCCTCTACAGAGACACAACCAAACACTTACCTGCATAAACTCTACGCTGCTGTCCAAGGGGGATTCTTGGCGAAAGAACAGGAGAAAATTTTCATCTTCAGATAAGAACAGGCTGGCAAGCTAAAGAAATGGGGAGAACAAGTAGCTTCATGGTCTAGTACTTCTTCGAGTCTTTATTCAAATGTCACCTTCTCAGTGAGGTCTTCTTTGGCTACTCTGATTAACACTGGGCATCCAAACACTCTTTATCCTCTTCCTGTTTTCTATTTCTTCATTGCACTTATCATTTCTCATGCTATATTAAGTCTCTGGCACATAAAATTGCTCAAATCTTAATTTGTAGAATGGGAATACTTTTTTCAGTAACAAGGATAATTTTTCATTAGTTTAATCATAGTCTGCATAGATTTACTTATTATAGCCGTAGTTTACCAAGGAGAAATTATATTATATATTATATATTCAACTGAAACTATAAAATAAAGACTATACATTAAGACAACACATTCATCTTAGAAGTAAAATAAATAAATAAATAGTCAACAACACTAGTCAGTGCTCCCTGGGTTAAAGGCATGGTGTCATATATTATAAGTCAGAAAGATTTGAGTGGCTGAGCATGGGGAGCCCAGATTGCAGTTCTGTGCACTTATCATTTTAGATTCACTGATTCTTTCAAAGAGTATTGCACCCCAACTATATATGAAACACTGTTTATCTGCCTTCCATGAGCTCATAATCTACTCATCCTATATAGTACATGTGTGAGTATTTTCCAAGTACTATTCTAAGAGTTTCCAATATTAAATTAACTCTATAGTAATAATAGAAAATAAAAATAGTAAGTAATTCTGACATGTGCCATGAATTCATTGTTCTAACCTCTTACATATCACTTCATCCTAATAACAACTTATCAAATACATGACACCCCATTATTCTTATTATTCATTAGCTAAGGAACTAGGCTACACAAAGTGAAGGAATTTGACTTAGTTATGGAGTTAAGTTGGGGAGTCAGGAGTTCAACTAAGCCCACACTTTTAACTTCTGTGCTATATTAGTTGAATACTGTAGAGATTGTTGTCTGGCTTGATTCTTGAATGTTGACTATTTTTATTCTTTCACATTTTAGTGTCTCTAGACTACACTAGTGGGTTCAGTTCAAACATCCTGTTTTCTATGTGAGCACTGTCGATTGATTTACTTCACTCACTCCCATGAACAAAGGGACTATCCTCTTCCCCTATGTTATTCTAACACTTGTTTCAGCATGTAGTTGTGCTTGATTGGGTTCATTGCCAAACCTATGACATTGCAGAATATACCACCTGCTCTCCAAGTTGGCTTCCACGAACAATGACAATTTCCAATTCTTCTATAACCAGGTAGTTCCCTCAATGCCACAAAATGAGTCCAAAGCAACTCTTGGTGAATTGTAAGGAAAATTAGCCCATTCTCCCAGTCATAATCTCATTGGATATGGGTCAGCTCAAGGACACTGAACATGGATAATAACAGCTATCAGATATTGAGTAGCTTCTACCTGGCAGGCATTGGCAATGCGCTTTCATTTAGCATCTCTTTAAATTCTCGTGCCAATCCTTCAGCTACATATAAATTTCCTCCTTTTACTAATGGGAGGCAGCACCATGCAGCATGCAAGTGATGGCTTAGGGTGGATCTGTAACAGTGTAATATCCATAGAAAAGGTAGGGTCAAGGTTCCCTGACCCACCCAAGGAAGGGTAGAGCTGAGCAGGGAGGAGAAGTCGGAGAAGACAGGGAAGAAGGAAGGAAGGAGTTCGAGAAGCCCTGGAGGAGGCACATGGAGCAGAAAGACCTGTGAAGAAGCTGCACTTGCTTCTTGGCCTTGGACTTGCACCAGGGTCTTGGAAGACATGAAAGGAAACACTTGAAAGAGACAGAGATGTGGGTGAGAGACTCTTGGGGAGACTGACAATGGCTGTCTTGACCTTTATTTGTGTTTTGATTTTTCTCCTTTCATCTCAGACTTGCCTGGTCCATTCTGCCCCTTTCCTGTGGGTCCCCACTAGAAGGTGCCTTAGATTCATGGCAAGGTTTCGGGCCTCTGGGGTCCTATGTTGAGCAGAAACTTTGTTGCCACTTTGCAGCAGGAATGCCCCAGGAACACAGTGGTGGAGCAGGTTTGCAAGGGAGACTCTGCTACTTGAGCAGAAGTACTTGTGCCATTTGTTGAAAGCACACAGGGTAGTAAAAGCTGATCATGCAACAATGGTGTGAAGAATAAAGTCCAGAGGGTGGGATAGGAATGGGGGACAAAGTTTTATGAGGGACAGGGAAGGGACAGTGTGACCATACATCAAGAGCCATTTGTGTCAGCAAAGTATTTGATGTTATCATGGGCAGAGGTATCCTGAGACCACCATGGAGTTAGTCACATAAGCACGAGTCACATAAGTCATGAGGAGGCCTAGGCGTCCCCGGGCCTGCCTCGTGATATGAGCTGTATACTCTGTAGGTAGTCAAGAAATGCTCTGCTGTGATTTGTAGATAGCAAAAATGTCGCAGTCCTGCTTTGGGCCAACCCTGTTTGGCTGGGCGTTTACCCACAAGGGGATGGATAACTTTGGGTGCTTTATAGGGAAACTAATTTAACTATATTCTTTCTCTTCTCTCTATCGTGCACTAATTATAGTAAAGTTCTTTTTTATTGAAGGTCTTACATACTAAGAGTATGTCTATGTGTGGCAGATGGGAGAGCCTATTTAGAGCAGAAAGGTTTGGAGGGCCCAAGGGGCCTCTCCTTCAGTCCTATAATAGATCTAAATCCTTCTCTAATACTCGCCTATTATTTGATCATGTGCTTCAATTCTGCATTTGCAACATGCAGATGATAATATTTATATTCTGGTGCTTACGTGAACACTAGAAGTAAAACGAGGCACTACTTGTTCACTCTTTAGCAAAGTTTCTAGTGATGAGAAAATATGTTATTGAACAAATGAATATAATAAAAATTCCAGCAGAATTTCCAGCCCAAGTGCAATGAACATTCCAATGCAGGCATAATTAACAAGTTTGCTTACTTATAGCTCCTTCCCTTTCAAGATTCATGGCCAGGGCCTCAGCACTCTTATCTACAGGGTCAGGCAGCTGGCCGAGCTGGTCTATCTCTCCAAGGCCATCCCCGAATGCCTGCAGCCTTTCCCCTTTCCTCGCCCCCCCCCCCCCCGCCCTTGTCTGGGGACTTTGCTACAAATGGTTGTGCCTGCTGAAAAGCGATGCTATCAATAAAAGGAAGCTTTGTCTTTAAACTGGTGCTCAGACCTTACGGGGCGTCCCAGGTCTGGGACCTCATGCATGAGTAACAAAGCTTCTACTGACCTCACCATTCCTGAAGTACCACTTGTTCTTCCTCTGCTGGGTAAAAGGCCAGAATTTCTACAACACTAGTACATTAAGCATTCAGTAAGTGATAACTGCTGTGTCGATGAAGATGATAAAAATGGAGCTCAGGGAGATTATACAAGTTGGCCAGGGTTTTATATCACACCAGGGGACTTGGTGTTTTCCACCCATGCTGGAAATGTAAACTGCTCTCCAGGATTAAGTATTTTCTCATATGGAGTGACACAGGTTAAGTAATCAAATTATAAAGCAGTTTTGATTGGAAAGATACAAGCAAATCAAATATACAGACCATCCCAAAAACTCAGTTTGGTTCTCAATTGTGACTTCTTCCCCATCTTTTGTGAAAATATCTAAAATGGGTTAAGGTGGACTGAGTTTTATGTTACTACCTATAAATGGAGTACGTGAAATAGTTAATGGTAGTCAGGATTTGGCTACTCCTTCAACTCATAGGCTCAGGTGGCTGCAAGGGGCCTTGGAATGATGCATTCCTGTCCTACCAGCTTCCCTGCAAACAACATGAATATGTTTATTTGCAGGAGTCGGTGACAAAATGGTTGGCTAGATGTCAGAGCTATTGCCAAGGTCTCAATGGCTTCAGGAAGGTCTACCTGTTATTAGTAAGATAATGATGTAGTTTTCAGTTATTCACCCTGTGTCTGTCATTCATTCCATTATTAGTTTAGCAAATAAACATTTATTTGCTAACTCAATAATATTTGCTAAATACTCTGTCAGGATCTGGGGGCTGGAGAATATAACACTGAACAATAAACATGTAGTCTTGAATACTGTGGAATTTCTAACTTGATGCTACTGCTTACTTTTCCATTAATGAATACCCTGACACATTTTTACATGAATTATAATGTGTGCAAATTTTCAGTTATAATTATTGGTTACAGATATAATTTTTGCCTTTGAGTAAAAATTTGTCAACAACTACATTTAAAAATAAGTGCTTAGTTTATTGGTTTGCTAAAAAAGCAGGCTCTTGGTGACAGTTTTTATAAGGAGACATTATCTTTCATAACTGAAGAAAAAATGCTTTTATCAATATTTGCTGTCCAAGTATGAAGTCATCAAGACCACTAGCTCTCCAAATTTCAGGTAAACTGTCTAGCAGGCAGTTTTGACTATGGAGTAAACATCTTGGTTTTAGATTACCTTAGTTTCTGTGTAGATACCTAACTGTATAGTATGAGGCTAGACAGGTTCATACCAATAGGTGGAGTTACAATTACACCATCACTACATATTGGCCATATGGTGTTTGGAAAGTAACTGAGTTTCCTCGTCTGTAAAACAGGGATAATATCCCATGCCTATCTTCTATAATTACTGTGAGGATAGAAATCCTTTCTATACTCTATACTTTTTTGTATCTAGAAGAAAAAAAATGTTCAGTTTAAAGATAAACCACACAAGTTATTGCATGCTTCATAGGTTCCTTCCATTTGTGTAGATATCAATCAAATGAGTTCATTGTAAGTAAAGACAGCTGCAGAATGCTTTGTTTTTCATGATCTTTGCAACCTCCACTGGGAGCTGATGCTGAAGTTTGAATTCATTTACTGTCAGTAAGTCTTTCCTTATATCAAGGTTCAATTTGAACAGGACGCTGTGCAGAGATAAATGTTGGATCAAGTAACTGAAAGGCCTCCTGCATGTCAGTTCTCTATAAAATAAATATTTATTGACGAATAAAATGATGGAAGAACCATATGTTCTTTGTTATTAAGCAGATAATAAAGGAGAGCTGATTACTTTAAAAAACATTTTCTGGGTCAACTTGTGGTCAAATTTAAAATTTTCATATCTTTCAGAGGAAATTTTAACCCAAGAGAATAGTAAAGAAAGGTATGGTTGTGAAAGGTACCTCTTGCATCTGTATGCGGCCATCTTTAGCGACACAGTGGGTAGCCATAAACTGCTGTTTCACCTTCTGTGCATTTTCTTCCATGACTGCTTCCTACAGTGGGTCAGAAAGAGTCACCTGAAAGCTGCTGGGATTCCATCATGAAGTTAGGATATCAAATATTCAGAGTATATAGACTAATGATTGTTAGTCTAACCTGGAAAGCATATTACATAGCCATTTAAAGCAATTCTGTCATGTTGTAGAAGGGAAAACAGATTGGGGATTTCTTAGCAAAAAACTACTAATCAGAATGCTGACTAGGTAAAACTTATAACTAGTGAGCTCCTAAAATATGAATGAAGACACACTTAGAGACTAGAGTGTTGAGAGAATCAATTTAAACATCTTATACATTTTTCTGGGACAAAGGACTATGTTATAATGAATATACAGACTTTCCCCCAAAAAACTCAGAGGTTTGCTTCTACTTTTAAGTGCAGAGTACAGCTCTTCTAGGTCTCCAACTTTTCCATAACTCATTCTCTTATTCTCCTTGGATTCTTAGAGGAAAAAATAACTAGAAGGGGAAAATAGTTAAGGCGAAACCAAAGTAATAAAGCAATTGTTGAATATGCCAAAGATCTCACATCTCCTTTCCATGTGCAACCTCTTCCACATATTTCATTGTTTTTCATGTGTGAACTGCAGGGTCATTTCAAAGAAAGATGACACTTTCAATCAGCAATGGAGAATGAATTCTGATGCAGCACTATGTCAGAATTCTGACATAGATATGCAGTGTCAGATTCTGAGCCTCCAGACTTGACCAGCCATGTTCATTCTCCCTGATACCATCAGGCTAGTCAGCCAATTGGATTTCCTCATGTAAACACCCACTAAATATAGAGATTAGACTTTTCTAGTCTTGGTACCAAAGATTGTGTATATTTGTGATCACATGTGTGGGTGGTATGAGCACCACACAGAAAAAGAATGATAGAAATCACTCAACAAGTTGGACTTCTTGATTAAGAGTTCCCCCAGGAGAGCAGTTAGTTATTTCTGTGTCTCTAATACATTATCTGTGGAATGAATAAATGATTCTTTATGGTGGACTGGGCATACAAAGTTAACTAACAAAGTTAACTAACATAGACCATGATAGTGGAAAATTAGATTTCAAAGTAATAAAAAGATGCCGTCAAAGAAGCTCTAGATGGAGTCTACATGCCACCTTTAGTTTGAAGACACAGAAGCTTGACTTATGACGTTAAAGTCTGTGATTAATGCCTGGACCTAAAGAAAAAGAGCTTAGGGTTCTCATAATTGTCCATGAGTATCAACCCTGACCACTTTATCTGAGGCCAAAGCAGGGGATTTATCATCTCTGGAACAGGCCCAGGATGAGCTGTGATCTGCACACAAAGGGCTTGTAGACAGGCACAGAAACAGAAGTACTATCTGTCACAGACTAGCCAGATCCAGATCTGGTCCAGAAGCCAGATTAGCATTTGAAAAGAAAAAGGCTAGGAACGGAAGGGGGAGGGAGGTGAATAACAACAGCAGAAGGAACAGTTTATGGTTCCATTAAGTTAATCCCCTCAGAGTCTGGGAGGTACAGGTAATTACAAGGAGCTGGTTTCTCTCCTCGCTGACAACAGGCAGCTAGCTGTAGAAACCTCAAAATTTCTTCTTCCTAGTTTTCAGGGACCCGCTAATCAGGAGAGGAAATTAGAGCTGTTCAGGCCTCCAAGAACTACTTGCCACTCCTGCTCACCAAAGGGAGTGGCTTCTGTTCACAGAGGCTTCCCTATAGCTGAATCTGTATTCACAGGACACCACTGATTAAAAATAAGTGTCACAAATAGGGACAGTCTCTACTCTGAAGTGTCTTTCACTTTTGAAGTCCTACATACGTAGGGTCTACTCATTTCTCAGCCAGGAAAAAGCCAGATGAGGACTAGTTCCCTTAAACACACCTGCAGGTAGAATAGGGTGCCCTGCAAAATTCCCCAGGGTAATGCCTCAGTATTTAGAATAGTAACAAGGGCAGTTGATGACTTATCCAGTTAGCAGTTTATATGTATAGGTCAGACTTTTGCACCACTGGCCTCTGGCTATCACCTGCAACCTTCTTTGCAGAAGGCGCTTGGGAGTGTGGACACCTAGAGTATGGTGTGGGCATGCATGCGTGTGCACACCTGAGCTTGGTGGATGAGGCTATAAGGGTGGTATCACACAAAAAATGGCTGGGGTAGATTGTCTATGAGAGGATGAATGACTACAGAGAGGCAGGGCCACAAGATGATGCCAGAGAGCCCAAAGAGAAAAGCCCACAGGTTAGGTGGGGGCTGAGAGGCCTGCCAGGCTCCTGGCCACCCGGCTCCCTTGCCTACTCTGCACCTGATTGCTGGCACTATGACTGGTGAACTGACTGCACAAGTCTTCTGAGTCAGGAGCTAAGGAGCAGTGAGTGCTTGGGGGTGCTGCCAGACCTCAGTGGGACAAACTTGATTATATGCGAACCCTCTCTCCCAAAATCAGACAATGTTTCTGGAGGGACAGTGGTGGAAGGAAATGCAAACTGACTTAGGATGCAAGATCCTAGGCAGGCCCAATGGGGATGAGCTACTTAGATCCAGTGGGTACATTTTAGCAGATACAGAATATTCTTAAGTCTACCAAAAATTAGTTTCCCCTGACCAAAATACTCCGCAACCTTCCAAACTCTTTGCTTACAGTCTCAGGACCACCTGCACTGAACACAGATGCACAGGACACTGGTGAGTCATTTTCTGTCCCCTTTCTTACAAGTACTGTGCCTGCCCTTGTGTGAAAGGGTGAGTTCATGTGCTAAACCCAAGGGGGCAGGAAATGATAACAGCCAGTACAAGAAATGGCATCACTCTCTCTCTCTCTCTCTCTCTCTCTCTCTCTCTCTCATGCTCTCTAAGGTTAGCCAAAGTCCCGGAAGATAGCTCACAGTGTCCTCAGTTTAGAGCAGACCCTCATGTTTGGGTGATTCCGTTCCTTACTCCATGACTGAAAATGAGACACATCCAGTTTCAACACTGGCTGCCAATGTCATCCTCTTTCCCCGTAAGTCACAATACCCAGGAGACTTCTGAAAAAATATGAAGTACCAGATTCTGGGAATTTAGATTTTTTTTTGATCATCCAGTTTATGCCAAGATTTTAGTTTTATCTTTATATTTCTGTTTTTCTCAAATACTCCTGACATATTTGACAAAATGGTATTTGACTCATGGGTTCCAGAATGCCATGTACCTTCACATTAACAGCAGTCAGTGGGAGGAAGGTAAAGGAAGATAAAAGAAGGGAAGAGAACAGATGCAAAGAGGAGAAGGGAGGTGGGAAAACTGGTCAAAGGAAAGAAATGAAGGGCAAAGAGAGATGAGACAGAAAGACTGGAAAACAAATAAAAGACAGGGAAAGGAGGGACAGATTGACCAGAGATTAGAAGAAAGAGAAGCAACAACACTGGAGTTGGGGGGTAGTAAAGTGACAGATAAGAAATGGACAGCAATCAGAGACCTAAGAGAGATGAAACCCAAAGAGGTCAAAAGATATTGGTAGAGGATAGCTTGAAACATTGGGATGAGAAACAGAAATGGTCAGAAAATGAAAAAAAAACAAAAAAACAAAAAAACAGAATATGAGATGCAGCAGGTAAAGAGATACCAAAAGATCCACATGACTGTTGCAGGCAGATGGCAACCTCTTTCTCTGTGCTGTCTGCCCCACCATTCCCAAGTTCTCCTTGGTGGTACAGAATTCCTTTTTCCCCTCTTCAGGCTCCTACATAAAAGTGTGATGCACTTCAATATTCTTCCATGTAAGCTATTATATCTAAGGATAAGCGATCCCCATAATTCATTGTAAATGCTAATGTATCCAGACCTACTCCCCCTACCATACATTCCCTGATGGAGTCTTCACCAGGTTTTTCCAAGCCCAGCTGGTATATTTCTGTGAGATTTTTCCCTGCTTTGCTACAGGGACATGGACACTAGCTTGCCTTACCTGAGCTCTGAGTATGTTGGTTATTTTCTGTCTTGTCATCCCCTAAGAAATCTGTAAAATTTTCTAATAAAAGTGAATCATGGGGTAAATGATTTTAAATGATTAGTTTGTTCTTTGCTATCAAAGGTGAGTCAAATGCACTAAACACACAGAACCCTAAAGCTCTTAACATCTTTTCCACTTGACTGAGCAAAGTGGGCTACCTTATCTCCAGTCTTAAATCCATTAGCAGAGACATAACCAAGAAGACCTTCAAAACAGAGTTGTTTGGGTCTACACTTAGGCTCTCTGAGTGGCTGACAGATGTTACATTGCAAGTCAGTGACCAGCATGTTTAATGAGACCACTGAACCTTTTATAAAACTTACACCTAAATCTCTCCTGTTGCTAGGAAAGCAAGAACAATTAAATGCATGCAATGAAAAAAAGAGGTCAGGTGGGATTAATAGGTACAAATCAACCTAAGCCTTGGAGAATCCTTGTCATTCACTAAGACACACATAAATTAATGCTTAAGAACACAACTACTTACATCAGTATTCGATTTTGCCAACAAGTGGTACAAGAAAGCATCAAGCTCCGTCTCTTCTATATAACCTTTTTCTGAAGGCAACAAGATGTGCATCAATTATAGTTATTTTGTACAGAATGACATTTAGCATTTATCAAAATTTACTTTCAGTATGATCATTTATAAAGTCCCCATGGATACTATTACTTGCTATTACAATAACGAAGTGTCAGCATCTACCCTTAGAAGACATGGATTTGAATAGCAAACACATCTTCAAGATTAAATCCTTTGTGCTGGAACCACAGGAAAATTTGGGAAAAGTCAGCCATGAAATACACAAGAATTTTATTCCACAATTAAACACGACTTTTAGAAAAAATCCAACCCCAAAGAAACCCAAGATTGGACAATTTTAACCAATATAGATGTTGAACATTAGTTTGCAGAGTTAAAACACATGTTTTTTAAGTATTTTCTTCAGGTTTGCTTAATTATAAATTAAGTCAATGCCAATGTCAAGTAGTTCATTTTCCTTTCAAGTAGATTTTTTTTGGGGGGTAGTGTTGTTTTTGAAAGTTGATGAAATTCATCCTGCCTCTCCCTTTGAGAATATGTGGGTTATTCAACAAAATCAGAGTAAAAATGAGCTGACTCATTACTTCAGATAGCTGAGCATCAGCCCACAAGCCTCAGATATATAAAATTATATTTGTCATAATATAGACACTACACACACACACACACACACACACACACACACCCCACATGCACACAGAGATTGGGAAGATGGGACATTCCTGTTTCCACTCTGAACTTTCACAAGACCTCCAACTGTATCTGATATACCCAATGCCTATTAAGCATGTTGCATTAACAAGGCTGAAGACAAATTTCCCAGTAGGGAAAAACTCACAGGAAGGAGAAACTGTGGCTCCTTTCTGCAGAACCAGGAGCAGAGCCGCATCTACACCTGAATGTGCAGGTGGCTCGTTCAACTCACCATCTGCATCAAAGCGCTGCCAGACCTGCCAGAAGCCCGCGGCGTCCAAGCGCTCCGGAGTCGGTTCGCGAGCGCTGTCCATGGTGTTGACCACAAAGCTCAGGCCCCGGCCCGCAAGGAACTCTTAGAGAACTTTAGCAACAACTGCTTTGAGAAGGTTTCTGACACTCCTTCGCCCAGTTCTATGATTTTCTGAGCACCTGTCTACGGGGCGGGCGCGAGGTCGTCTGGTGAGGCTGCTGGTGGCGCCTTGGTGTCGCCAAGCAGTCCCCAAGCCTGGACCGGGCTCTGAGCCACATCAGCTGCTTGGAGCCCGCCCGCCCCCTCCTGGTGCGTAGATCCCTGGCCCGCCCAGCACTCTGTTCTCGCTGATCCACAGGAGAGCTATTGTCTGCCTCAGCCCCGTGGGGGATTCAGAGAGAAAGACACTATCTAGGGTGTCTGTGGTACATGGCCATTGTCCTTTAATTTGTTAAACTCAGAATAAATATCTACCTTAACCTTCCAAAATGAGTCTCAAGGGATTTTCTAAAGCGTGTTCTACCCCCACCTCCATTTAAAAGGTGGGAAGAGGTGCCAGTGTCAGGACACTTTGGGCTTGATTTAGAAATGTATTGTGGGGGGAGGGTGGCTGTGAGGTTAAGGGCAATGACTGTGACAGTAGTAAGAAATTATCAGCAAGCAAGCAGACATTAACAGCAATCACCGAACTCTGTTGTGCAGTCATGCATGCTCCAAGGACTTGTAACCAGAGACTCTGAAAGGAACTGAGGTTTAAAGCAGTTCAAACTATGCCATGCTCTGCCAGGAAAAGAGAGATAAGGGGAGACTTGGTGACCAGCTGCCGCATCCCACGTAGAAGGGTTAGATGATTGCGTTTTGTTCCCCAGAGCTGCCCTAATACCAAAAAACAATTCATTTGGAGGGCCACAGAGCTCTTTCTAATGATCATGTGGACTTCTAGTGTGTCCTGGACCTGGGATGTGATGGTGAGGGAAATCAGACATGGGGGACTGTCATGTCCAGCATGCAGTAAATCTTTATTGTCTTAGTGCTCATTATATACTATTTTAATTGCAGCAGGTGTAACATCAAAGCATACCATGTAATGATAACACGTATGAATGATTAGTCTACTTTCTTACTATTATCTATTTACTTCAGACGGTAGGGTACCAGGTGGTTAGTTCTCACGCACATAATCTTATCGCCCCCCTAGCTAGAGCTTGGGAAGTTCACTCATTATTTTTGTTATTCTAAGACTGTGGAGATGTAGAGGCCTGACTCCATGCAGGTCACTTTCCGGGCACTCAACACCAGGTCCTGCCACTAGAGGTTTTCCTCTGAGACGCATGTGTTTTCACATGCCTTAGGGACTCAGGTCAAGGCCCTTCTGCTCACTGCGTGGGGTCTGTCCCAACAGATCAGAACTGTTCAACACTTAACTGGCTGCTTTGTGAAATAGTGAAGTGACGGGCACTGAAGCCTTCTGACCATGTGCTTGGAACATTTTCTGGAGGAAACTTGGCTATTAGGAGAGTTAGATCAGCTCTACAGCTTCTTTATGGCACGTGGACTCTAATTATAGAAGTCACATTTATGTTTTTTTAAAGATTTATTTATGCAAGCACTGGATATAGTCAGAAGTGCGGGAGGGTGAGAGAATTCACCAGAGTCAGAGCAGGGAACAGAACAGGCAGACTGATTAAGTACACTGCTGAGGGGAGCAGCAGGCACAGCAGGAGAGGTCTGCGCACCATGTGGGACCCTCGCGGCAGCTGGGGTTCGAACCAGCACTGCAGAGGCTGCGGGCAGCTTCACAGCCCAGCACTCAACCACTGCACCACCGGGGAGGTCCACATTTATTTTTTTAAAGTGCATATACTTAAACCATCCAAACTAGAGTTATAAAAAGAATATGCCCCATCACATTCAGACACTCCTGGCCTAGGATCTCAGCCCCATCTGGGGTTTGAAACCTAGGCCATTAGTTTCTTCTTTCTTCATCTTGTTTATGCATCTAAAAATGAGGATTATAACACCTATTTTGAGGGGTTGCTGCAAAGATCTGAACCACTCAGCACAGTAGTTAGCAAATTAGAGGGTGTATGGTGTTACAGAGGATCAGAGGTAACAGTGTTTTTCAGAAAAAAGAAAAAAATGGGCCTCCCCTGGTGGCACAGCGGTTGAGCGCTGGGCTGCAAAGCTGCCCGCAGTCTCTGCAGCACCAGTTTGATCCCCGGCCACCAGCGAGGGTCCCACATGGCGCGCAGACCTCTCCTGCCACCCGCTGCTTCCCTCAGCAGTGTATTTCATCAGTCTGCCTGTTCTGTTCCCCACTCTGGCTCTGGTGAATTCTCTCACCCTCCCAGCGCTTGTATAAATAAATAAATAAATCTAAAAAAGAAAAGAAAAGAAAAAAAAAATTTAAAGAAAATAAGGAAGGCCCCAGAAATGGCCACACCCAAGAGGAATCAAAGAAACATGAAAATTAAACCTAAACTTGTTAGGATCCAGGAACAGAAAAAGTACATTAGGCAAAAGCTTAGAAAAGTTGACTAAATCCAGTGAATTTTGTAAATAATTATGAAAAAAATTAGTTTAGGTAGGACTCAGCTTTGCAAAGTCTTACTAGATGTGATATTGGACAAGTTACTGCAAAGAAGCCTAATTTTCTTAGCTTGTATGTGGGGTAATAGTAGCATTGCTCTGTATTATTGTCGTAAAGGTTAAATGAAAAAAAAATCTCAGCATACTACACACAGTAAACAATGAAGGTTAGCTACTAAAATGATTTTTCCATTTGCACATTTTGTCTATGGTGAAATAAACTCCAGAATTTTTTAGGGGTGTGGCTTGAGTTAACAGAGGAAAAGCAGTAGCATTACTTCTGGGGAAAGTATTGGGTACAAATGTTGGTGAACACAGCAGGAGGAGAAGAAAAATGTGTCCAAAGCTGGCATATTATTTAATACAGTTTCAAAATCTATCAAGAAGAGTGATTTGTATGAGCTCACCAGGTTGAACACAGACCTTATTTTCTGATAAATAGTGGAAAAAAGAAAAACAAGACAAATATCAGAAGTAATAATCGATAGGAAAATGGTTAAATGACAGTTAACTTTTATCATGGACTTTGCTGTATACACAAAAATTGTGGTTTTTATGTCACTAAAGTGACAGAACAGAGGTAAAGATTAGAAAACAAATTACGGGCCCCCCCTGGTGGTGCAAGGGGTTAAGACACAACATATGAAGCTACCCCCAGGTTGCCAGGGAGCTACCCACATAGTGCAGCAGACCTCTCCTGACTGGATCACTGCTCCCCTCAGCAGTGTATTTCAGTCAGCCTGTTCTGTTCCCCACTCTGTCTCTGGTGAGTCCTCTCACCACCACCCCCACCTCTGGCCTGTACCCCAGTTCCTGTATGTATAAATAAATCTTTAAAAAAAAATTACAAATGTGTGCAAGTAGTATAATCCAAGTCTGTAAGACAAAAATACATGCTTGTACACATTTTTAAAAATGTAAAATATACACTAATAATGAAAATGATGTTTATCTCTGGAATGGACACAAGGAAAATTCATGGTAATTTTAACTTTGCTATTTTTAATTCTTCCATCTCAAAACTTTTTACAGTAAGCATATAATGCAAACTTTTTTTTTTTTAATTGTAAAAGTGCAATTTAGGAAAGAGGGAAAGATGCGCAGGGAAAGAAAAAAAGATGTGCAGCTACAAGAACTGCTGTTTTTCTTGAGGCTACAGGACAAACAGAACACAGCACAATTTCCAGGAGCCTGGATGTGGAGTTGCAACTTCCACTCAGTGGCTAGTTTCTAGTTCCTTTGTGTCCAGATGTCTGTCAGATGCTAGGTCGCTAGTGCACAGGTACCTTGAATTCCCCTCACAGAAGATCTCCTTTTGGGAAAACCATCCTACCCTTTGAAAGAGAAAAGCATTACTGGGAAGATATTTGAAGATAATGAATGAGAAGGAGGCACCTTGAAAACTGCCTCACTGGAATGGTTTTCCTTCCTGGTGGTGCAGAGGTGGGAATAGGGGAGAGAACCTGAGATGTTTTGCCTGAAACCCTTACCCCATGTCTAACCAGAGAACTCAGAGTAATGCAAATACAAGGCAGTGAGAATCAATTGAAATAAACTATGCAGCTTATGGATTAATTTAGCCCCTTCCGCAGAGATTCTGATTGAAATGGTCTGGAGCAAGGACTCAGCATTGATCTTTTTTTTAAAAGCTCCCATTAGGATTATAATATTAGAACCAGTGACTGGCTTTTTGTCTCTAAGTTTCTGGCTACTTATATTTTGGTCCTTTTGTTATTTGAATATTGTTTCTCTGAAGGACAATTTAGAGAATAAATTTTTTATTAATACCCCATCCCATCTCTTTCAAAAAGAGATTACAATTTATACTTATAAACCCACTCTAGTAAGTTTTGACAACTGATGGCTGAAACTAAGGAATGAAATGAGTTGTTTTTCTTTTTTATCCCTGCTGATTTAATTTTCTCCCACAATCATTTCCTGCTTTTCTCATTAGCATAGTTAATTGATGGTTAGTTGTACAAAAAACATCAGTGGTTTATAATTTGAAGCATTGCTAATTAACCCTGATGCATATATTCAATTCTGAGCTAGAACAGCTACATCATTTTACAACTCAGAATATTTATAACTGGAAATATAAACAATACTTTCTTTGGCATCATCTCCCAATAGACAATGAATATTCACATATGATATATACTTTATGGATTATATAGTAGACCTTGCATTAATGTCACAACAGTTCCAATGTGTAAAGGAAGAAGACTAAAAGAAATGTTAGAGATATAGAATTAATGATTTTTAAATAGATACCTTTTATTATCTCCTTTATAATTACTTAAATATTTTTGATCATTTAAATAATATAGATCAGAGAACAACAAAAAATGTTCCCCTATAATTTCACCACCCAGAGATAACTAAGAATAATACATTGGTGTACGTCCTACAAGGTTTTTTTTATATGCACAAAAGTTGCATTATACAGCTCTGTAACTTGCTTGTTTCCCTTAATATGAAAACCCCTCCATGTCATTATTCTTCAATGATATCATTACAAGTGTGGTATTTGCATAATTTATGTGCCTAATGTTCTGTGAACTTTTAAATTGCCCTTACATTTTCACTATCATAATCAGTGCTGTAACAGCTAAATATTTGCACATTCCCATAAATATTCCTTTGGGATACAATTCTGAATGTATAAAGCCTGGGCTGGATGTTACCGGACATTATAAGCTCTTTTTTTTTTTTAAAAAAAAGGTTTATTTATTTATGCATACAAGAACTGGGGCACAGGCCAGAGGTATGAGGATTCACCAGAGACAGAGTGCAAAACAGAACAGGCAGATCAACTGAAATACACTGCTGAGGGGAGCAGCTGGTGAGTCAGGAGAGGTCTGCAGCGCCATGTGGGTAGCGCACTGGCCAGGGATTGAACTGGTGCCGCAGTGGCTGCGGATGACTTCATAGGTTGTTCTCAACCCCTATCGCCACCAGGGAGGCCCAGGACATTTTAAGTTCTTAACATACATTGCTAAAAAGGACAACTCCATCTTGATTTTACTCATTTATTCTGCCATTAACCATGTATAGTGCTAGGAAGGCACAGAACAGGATGTCTATGATCCAGGCAGCTGGGTGGGGTCCTGGAGGCCTCAGTGGCTTTTTCAGGCTTTTACTGAGCTTTTTTACAAGTCAGGAGGTTCAGGGGTCTTCACCCACCTGGTGAGTCACTCACCTGGTGAGTGCTATGCCATATGTGGGTTATCTCCCTGGCTGGGGATTGAACTCAGGCCTTCATGGTGAT